TGTGAAATGATAAAATTCTTATCAGGAAAGATTAATTCACTGATTGGCATTTCATTCAGAAATAAGTATTTTTGTAATTGGCTTAAATTTTAAATTTTCCGAAGCTCTCTGTGTTGTAAGGTCTCCTTTATTGAGCTGATACTTTTGTTCATATCAGTGAATATCAAGAATATTATGGTCTGGGGAACTGTGGTCCACATCTGGGGCTTTTTCTATCTCCTAAAGAATAAATAGTCTCTATGGAATTAAGACAGTTATCTCTTTTTTAGCTGCTGCCATCATGCACTCTAAATGCAGAAGTACCTCATTGTAAATTATATCCCTAACAAACAGGAAAGACTTGCAGAATTTTTCTGTATGCTGTAGCTCATCCTGAGAAGCATCCTTGCTCTGCCTGTCATAGAAAGGCAAGGAGCCCAAACTTAGAATCCTAGAATCCTTAGAGTTGGAAAAGGACCTTCAAAAGTTCTCTAGTCCAACTCCCCTGAAATGAATATCCACAGCCCTATGCCGGGTTTACAACTGACTTTTTCCCAATACTTTATATTCATTTTTATGCTCTTAGAATTACACAAAAACTCTCTCAACAGCAGTCACTAATCCTTCATAACTGTGACAGACAGTAGGAAAACATAAGTAAAACATGTTCCAGAAAGTAGCTTTTCTTCAGTAATGAGCTTTTGGAGAAAGAAAATATAAAGTTAAAATATCCTTGTTTGTTTAGCTATAGTTCCTCTTTATAGAAATTATGTATGTATCTGGAACTGTAGTTCTGGATTCTGTGTGCCTCTGTTTCTCAGAATTTATCTGCCACACTATATAGCTTTCAGTCAGTCAGTGACCCGACTGTCATTCTCCATTACATATTCTCATCTTTTTATGAAGTCATATTACAGGATCACAGAATCACAGAATCACCCGGGTAGGAAGGGACCTCAAGGATCATGTAGTTCCAACCCCCCTGCCTAGCAGGGCCACCAAACATACACATTCAGATCAGGTTGCCCAGGACCCCGTCCAACCTGGCCTTAAACACATCCAAGGATGGGGCATCCACAACCTCCCTGGGCAACCCGTTCCAGGGCCTAACCACTCTCCTTGTAAAGAACTTCCCCCTAACATCCAACCTAAATCTTCCCTCCTTCAACTTGGATCCATTTCCCCTAGTCCTGCTGTTGTCAGCCCTTTTGAAGAGTTTACTCCCCTCATGGGTGTAGGTTCCCTTCAGGTATTGATAGGCTGCAATGAGGTCACCCCGCAGCCTTCTCTTCTCCAGGCTGAACAAGCCCAACTCCCTCAGCCTGTCCTCATAGGGGAGGTGCTCCAGCCCCCTGATCATCTTAGTCGCCCTCCTCTGGACCCTTTCCAAAATCTCAATGTCTTTCTTGTACTGAGGGCTCCACACCTGGACACAGTACTCCAGATGGGGCCTCACAAGAGCCGAGTAGAGAGGGACAATCACCTCCCTGTCCCTGCTGACCACCCCTCTCCTGATGGAGCCCAGGATCCCATTTGCCTTTCGAGCTGCCAGAGCGTACTGCTGGCTCATGTTAAGTCATGTATTGGAGGACTCAGAACTGAACAGTATTCCTATTGCAGTCTTAACAATGCTGGGGGATGCACTCACCTTTCTCATCCTGTTGTGGATACTTTACCTAATGCAGCCAAGAATATCATCACCTTTCTTAGACACAAGAGCATACTGCTCACTCATGTTCAGCTTGTGTGTACCAAAACTTCTACATCTTTTTCTGCAGAGGTGCTTTCTGGTGGGGTGGCCTCCAGCATGCGTTTGTGCCCGCTGGGAGAGTAGTGCAACTAAAATTTCTATGAAAACTGTTGAAGTTACATAGGATGAATAGATCACCAAACAGTAAACAAGAAGTTAATCTTTATATTGACAGTGATTTTGAAGTACTTCATGAATCCTGCTACAACAGGTTTCAGTTATTTCAGCTAAAGGAATCTTAAGAAGGAACCTACTTTGAAGAGTTCTATGTGCCATGCATATATAAAGCATAAGAATGGTATATTTTCAAAGAAGAGAGAGAAGAAAGAAGTGAAAACTGTGGAACTGAATGAATTAAAGCTGAAGAATCCATCATACAAATTCTGTTTTTCTGGTTTTATTTCTGAGAAATGTCATTTTATATTTAATAAGTCTCAATGGATTTTCTGCATCAGTATGACTCTTTTGAAGTTAATGTTGATAACATTGTACAGAACTCCACATTGTAACACTGTACTACAAAATATTAGAAAAAATATACAAAAACTTTCTTTTTTATGCAGTTTTTTCTTTTTTATTGTATTTTCCAACTACTAGCTCCTTGTTCTGCTGAATGACAATGTGAAAAATTGATCCTTGTTTTCTTCCTGTTTGCCAGGGATAACATTTGAGATCTCTCTCTAATTTTCCTTTGGTTATTTCTTTTTCAGGCTGAGTTTAGAAGCTAATTTTGTCATGACTCATACAAAAACGATTACAATCTCTGATTATCTGTCACTCTTGAAAGAGTTCCAGGTTTAATTTTTTGAGATGAGAGAATGAAAGCTACACTCAGCACTCAAGACAAAGACGGAGCTTGATTTTACATAATATTTCTCATTTTCATTCTTTCCTTTCCTAAAATTCCATCTGTAATTATGACGGTGTTTCAGACTAGTGAAAAAGAGCAGAACTGTACTGCTAAAAGGCGATGCAAAAAATAATGGAAGCTAATGATATAAAAGAAAAAAGTCAAACAAGCGTCATTTTTGCATATCATAGCAGAATGCCATAGCAGTAACTGTCAGCAGCCAATAAGCTAACTAGCCATACATGTAGGTTTCAAATCTTTGAGACTGCCACTGATAGTTTTAAAGACACATCATTTAAAAAGGAAGCAAAAATTATGTTGTCTAATACAGCTTGGAGAATACTGCCTTTTAGAGCAATCCCTAACGGCAACAGTGGAAAAAGACTGTCACTTATGAATAGCAACTCAAAGTTTTGTTGCATTTATTACATTCAAACTGGTAAACTGTGTGGGCATTATCATGAAATAATTTCTTCAAATTTCTTTAATATCATGAATAAATTTATCTCAAAGATAGACCAGGACTCATGTTGCCAAGTGTAGTGATCTACATAGTGAGTATTTTTATTTAAGGATGTCACCATAAATTTCATCTACACTTTTTCCTGGGTTACATTTGGGATAGAATACTGGATACCAAAGTAATTTGTTCAAAAACAGTTGCGTCCTCAGGAGCATACTAGTCTCCAAAGCCGTTGCTTTGTAGCATAATAGTCTTCTGCTGGATTCAAGAGGTGTTTTTGAAATGTTGAGACACAACTATTTGGACTATTGTTTTCAAGTGAAAGAGCCTGAAATAATAGGAGGAAATTTCACGGTTCACCAAAAATACATTTATTAGCTTATACTGTGAAGCAGCAAGAAAAAGTGAAAGTTTGAGAACCAGTGATATACCTACACAGAGTTGAAGAATGCTTGTGGCTGAAGACATCCATATGCATATACAGTATCTGCCTGAAGGCAAATGAAAAAATGTTTTGTCTCTTTCTAAGTGAATTATTTGATTATCTCCAAAAGAAAACCTGAGAGTAAATGAGCTTGGATGTAATAAAGAAGAAAAACTCGTAAGACAGTTTTATGAGTTAGACATTGTTAATTGAAATAGAAAGAATTTTACACAAGAACTTAATATCGGATAATATCTTAAAGTACTTTCTAAAGTGTCAGAAGTGTTCATAAAAGTGGTTATTTCTTTGCTTAACTATGCTTTAAATCTAAAGTGAGTAGCTCAAATGTAATATTTAAAGCTCAAAAACTTCATCCCTTTTGTTATATTTACTTCCTTAACACTATCCTAAACAATCAAGTGGGGAGAAAGCAATTATTATACATATTTAAAATAGTACATTTATATCAGTTTGTTCTTTCTGTTTTGAAATACAAAAATAATACTAGTATCTTAACATATTAAAATTCTGATAAACAATATTTTAAATGCACGTGCATTTCTTTTACTCACACTAGTTATTTTGACATTAATTAAAAAGTTCAGAAGAAAATAAAAACAAACCAGTAAAATGACTCCATCTCTTATTGATGACATCCAATTTTTCCAGCAAAAAGTGCTGATTTGGAATCAAACCACTTTGTCAGTCAAGCAAAATGCATATCTTTAAGGGAATAATGACATTCCATGGAGTTTTCCTTAACCCCACAGGAATCAAGTTAAGAAAGACGTTAACACAGCCATTTTGTCATCAAACCTCCTAGACATGCAAAAACCATAGGTTGAGAAGACTGATCCAAGCATTTTCTACCATTGGAAATGGTGAGATTTCTGCTTCCTGAATATAATGAGTAGGACGGACATCTGCAAAAGTGGGTGGTATCTCAAGCAAAAGAAAGATTTTCAGTAAAGTTCTCATAAGCATTTGCAGTTATTTATTATTAAATTGGCTGCTAAGTATTATTTGTTTTATATGCTGGACTTTTAGAACCTTTTCATAAAACAACCTGAAATAGCAACACATGATAGGTTAAGCAATCACAGAATAAATGAAGAAAACCTTTGCCAAACTCCCACACTCTGATTACCGAATACACAAATTATCAAAATGTAAATAATTAGGTGAACATAGAAGAGGGGAACAGTTTTTAACTCTTTAGATCAAATTTTATTGCTTAAGACATTAACTGAAAGAGGTACTATTGGGAAAAAAAAAAAAAAAAAAAAAGCATATTCAGGAAGATCATGTTGTCAAAAATAGTGACAACCATGCAACATCTCAACATTAATGGATCTGTTATGATATTAATTTTTACACTGATCTATATGCATAATTAATGTCTCTTGATATGCCATAGAATTAATGAGATTTTGTTTCTTGCTTTTTACTTTAAATGCAATATTTTTCCAATTCTTCTCTGTATCTCATTAAACAGATGCTTAACAGAACACTGAAAAGAGAATGCTTGACTTACTGAAAAATTATCACTGTTCTGGTTTCAACGGTTTTTATCTCAGCCCATGAATTGTACTTGGGTTTTACCTTTCCAGCTCTCTCCCCATCCCACTGGGAGAAAGGAGTAAGTGAATGTCTGTGGGTGCAGAACTGCATGCCACATCAAACTACAGCATACAGCCTGTAATTTTGTCATCTTAAGCACACCAGTATGGTTCATGATCTGAAAGAAAGAATGTAAAGATATAATGATAAGAGATATTATTATCTTTAAAGAAAACAAAGGAAAATAAGCAACAACAGGAAAAAGAACAGTTTATTCAAGGAAATTGTCAAAAAAGAATGTCTTGAACAAGATGTTCCAAACATACCTTAGTTCCAACTATAAGTCAGAGGTCACTTCTGTGTAAATTTACTTATGTCCAACTAGGAAGATGCTTTCTCAAAGAAAATTAAAAGACATTTGTTGATTTTTTACAACCATTTTGACCTTGAGTTGAAAATGAGTTAGTTATCCAGAATTCATAGGTATTTTGTCTCCTAAATATCTCTGTTGATGCTGTAAGGAAATCACATATTAGATATTTCATGGTATATTGATAAATAAATAATAATATTACAAGATATTATTCCTTTAATATTTATTATTTTATTTAAAAAATCTCTTTTGACCACCAATTTATACTTATCTCACCAAGATCTTGCAAGAGCTTTGAAAAGTTATTAATACACCAGTTATGCAAGGTAATGTTGTAATTACACAACTTCTTGTTGCTTGTTGAAACAACTGCATTTGTTCAAAATATGCAGATAATGAAAAATTATTCTAAAAATGACCTCTGTGCATCATTATAAGGATGCTGTGCTTAAAAACAAAGCAGACAAACTTTTCTGGAGTGTGATTAAAGTCAGATATTTCACCTTTTTTTTTTTTTTTTTTTTTTTTGCAAAATATTTCATAATGAAAACAATGAAGATATTCAAAGCTTTTTATATAAAGAGAAGAAAGAAAAAGACTGCAAAACCTGTTGCATATCTGCAACAGAAAGATGAGAAGATGGGAAATACATCCTAGGTCTAGGGCTATTTTATCAGATTAACTGGTTGCTTTCTGTGAAGTTATTTGTGCTGTGAGGAGGCATGAGAATGAAAAAGAAAGAAAGGAACCAACAATAAAAAGTAAGAACTTCCAGAAGTGGTATTAGAGTACAGAAGTTATCCTCATGTCCAGCAAAGAATGGGTTACCTTAAATTGCAGTCCAGCTGCTTAAGCATGCTAAAGAAATGAGTCTGCTATCAACTGAGTTATCCACAACCTATGAAATAAATATTTATATATATGTATATGTATAAATGTGCATATATATTTATGATATCTTTTCTTTATCTAATTGCTATTTCTGCTGCCTATGACCAAATCTTTGCACGCTGAAAGACTTCCTGCCTAAATGCATGGGCCATTATGAAAGCAGGTTAAGTGGGTGCGAGCTATGTTGTTCTAGGCAGCAGCCAAGAAATATCTCAAGAAAATGCCACAGTTGTAAATAAGTTGTTTTAATGGTTAACAGTAAAATGCATTTTAATAGTCTGAACTTTTAAAGACTTTAGCTTCCAGCAATTTTTTATGCTCATCTGAAACATTAAAGGGCACTCTATTATAGGCATTTTCCTATTGTAACAGGCAATTTTAGACTATGATCAAGCACTGCTTAATTTTGAAGGACTTAAAACAGCAATTTAAGTCTTTCTATGTGAAGAGAGATTTCTAAATCTTATGTCATTTTGTTGTCTTGATATTCTAGTTTTATCTTCTTCCCCATAAAAAAAAAAAAAAGTTGTATATATTCATATCATAGCCATATAACTGTCAAAATCTGCTTTCAAAATGCCCATTTAATGGATGGCATAAAAACTTCCCAAATCTCAATTCTAATGAGTAAATTCAAACATATAACATGACTTCTCTGTATCATTATGTATATATTTTTTTTTCCTTCCTGGAACTATTTTTAAAAATTGAATATCTGACTACATCTAATTTTCCGAGCAAAACATTTTGCATAAGTAATCAAAATTATCAACATTTGCTATTATAGTGATTGATCTTAAGAAAAAATATATTCTTTGGTGATAAAAAAAGTGATCATCTTATTTCTGTAAAAAACAAAGAACTTCAGTTATCCTCCAAATCATATATCACCCCTGATACACTGAAACTAACTGAATTAAATGCAGGATCTCATCTGAAAAAGACATCCCATTAAACAACTAATTTTTATTTAAGTTATATTTTGAAGTTCACATCTTATTCTGTTCAGTATAAATAGAATTAACACTGAACTATTTTACAAAAGTCTAAAACCTGTAGCAAGTATTCTGAATAAATTGTAAATGTTTTAAAAATAACAAAATATACGTTATTTTATATTAAAAAAGTACTTGTTTTGATTTTTTAAACTGTTGGTAATCTGTGATATGCTGTAGGAATTGTATGAATATGTATGTGCAATTGTTATCAACATTTCAATGCCATATTTAGCACCACTTTAACATATTTTTGTGCTTTCTTTGTTAACCCAAATCTTTGAAATATTAATTGCAATTTTTTGTTTGTTTGATTTTAGATATATTTATTGAAAGTCCTAATGCTGTCAGTACATTGGCTTTCTTCTCCCTTTTAAGGCTGTCCTTTTTCATTCAGTTAAGGGCAGTGCTGTTGATTCAACAGCCCACGAAAGGTGGTTGAATGTAATTGCATGCAGTGGTGTGCTTCTCCTGACCTCTTCAGCTAAAAGCCCATTATGAAAAGTACAAGGGCTAAACAGCTTTGACACCTAAAGTACTGACTTGAATAGTACAGAGGAAAACAGCTTCACACTGAATAAAGAGTTTCCTACCAATGGATGGTTTCAGTTCCAAAGTGAAATCAGAGCAGAGGCAAAGGATGAAGAGGGCATCTTGATCATGAGAGCACAGAAACGTATTAAATACAGTGTAGAAAGTTCACTTCTGCTGTTTACAAAGCAATCTGACTGAAATCTGACTTAGGACCTAATGTTTTGTACCATGCAATTCCTCTAGATTCAGAGAAGGCTCATATGAAAAAAAAGCGAAATAACGTATACTGTGTTTTTCCTTAACATCTGATTTTATTATTTTTTTTTTAATCCTGATGATGAAGAAACAAGATAAGAGAAAATTCAACACAGTAGGAGATTTTTTTCATTCATTCCCTTAGAAAGAGGGAAAAAATGATTCTTATTTAGATAGCAATTGCCCAAAGTTGTAAAATACCTAGCTATTCTCAAGTTGAAGAAAGCAAGGAGCCTATTTTATTGTTTAAAGCAGTCCTATACACCACTCTATGTTTACATCATTAAGGTATGGACAAATGACAAAGATGATGTGTGACCTGGAAAATCTTGCATGTAAGAAAGATTGAGAGAAGTTACTTCTGTAGAAAATTTCTGTTATAACCCCAGCATTTCTTGCTCTGCAGGCTTTTTGTATTCTTACGCTGATTCTTCATTTTCCCTGGGAAACACTAACGAGAACATCAATGTCATTCATTTCAGAATCGTATTCTAAGACATCTAAAAGCTAGTTACCTCTGATACAGGTGAATTCTATCTGTATGTGACATTGGGTAGTTTTAGGCCTGATTTCGATAACTGCACTTGTGTAGTACTTTATCTGAGCTAATGAGCACTCCAGAGAGATTATAAGTAAAGATGTGTTAAATTTATGTTTATAATGAAGCCCATTTCAGGTCAAATCGGCATTGTCAAAAGCCTAAGGAAATCCTGTCATAATCCTTCATAGATATGAGCAATCATTTTAATCACATTTTTCTCTACAACCCTGTTAACACATGAATCAGTGGCAAAATAAAATTAGTTTTTTTCATGTAGATGTAATTCCAAAGTGTGACAAATGAAGCATTATACTCATGTCCAGCTAGGTTTAACACAGCAAGAACACATACAAAAACACACTCTCAAAAATCAGCAGTTTGTGTCTAGAACTTGTTTTTTCTGCTAAGTAGAATGTTAAAACAAAAAGTAAGGATCAAAAACTCTGCACTTATTCTTGATAGTACTCATACAAAGGAAACCCAGACATTGTACAACAGGAATTGGTAGAACTCAACTGGATATATGACTCAAAGCTATACACTAGACTATGGAAATGAAATAGAATGGCTGAAAAAAAAATTCCAGAGAGTAGAAACAGCAGGAAAATCACTGGGAAGTTTTTATATCTTACATTTCAATTTGAGCTCAGATAAACATACGAGAGATTCAGAGTTGAACAAAGGTTTTTTATTTTACTCTTACTTTCAAATTTAAGAAATTTTCTCTTTTTTGATTGATAAATAAGCACATTCAAGACAAGTTTTGTGTTTTTCCTCATGCAAACAAATGAACATCAGCATCTCATATATGAGCTGTGATTACAATGGTGCAAGGTAAATGAAACTGTAGCCCTGCAAATTTGCAATTGCGTCTTCACAAACTACACTTTACCATATGCTAACTACTGTGTACAACTGTGTTTAGTCACACATAAACACAATTAATTTCAGGACACTTTCCAAAAATAAAAGAGGGAGCAAACATAATTTATGGCTATCCACTGAAATGCACTTTTAGCCTCCCCTACTACTGACACCTAAATAACCAAACACATCTGAAGGGAAATCTTAGGTCAAAGACAATGGACAGCAAGTTGAAAGAGGGGTATCTGCAAGATTTCTGCAACACAGCAAATTTCCAATATAATAGGATTTTATGGACATCACATCCAAGGACAAGAACATCTACTTTAATTGAACTCTGGGGACAATGTTTGAGCAATCTCTTTCAGATACTGCTTGCAAGCACTGAATAAGGGGATTAAAAAAACATTCATACACATGAGATAACTTCTCAGATGCAAAAATTCTGCATGAGCAGAGACATGTTTTTTTTGTACTTCATCATTGAATGATGTCAGGAAGCAATCTATTCTCACTAAAAAAAGGATGGCTGACACCTTTGGAAAGACGGTAATCACAGGAGTCAGCTTTGAATCTAAAGAGGGCTACCCAAGTAAATCGAGTCATTGTAGAAATTCCTAATTAACTATATCAAATGTGATACTAGAATATCCTAATTTTACTTATCTATCTATCTATCTATCTATCTATTTATTTATTTATTTATGCTGAATTCCAGGAACATGGGATATCTACTCAAAGAGTGGTAACTGGTGGATGTGCATATAGTTTGCCTTGTGCAAGGAATGTTCACCTATATTAAAGAAATGATCTTCTGCACTGCTGTTGTGACGTACTGTTAGGAGGTATTCAGACACTTCTCTGTGTGCAGTAGCACTAGATTAATGAAGCATACAAGTTTAAGAAATTTGCTTCTATATGTGTTCTGGGTAGGGTAGATATGCTTTTCATAAAACTGTCATTGTTACTGTAAGTAATAAAAATCATGATCACCCTTATTTTAGGTGTTCCATATCAGGCTCTTAAAATGAATAACAAAGCTTTAGGCAGCATCACAAATTCTTTAACAGCTCAGAAATGTTTTTCATTTTCTTGCTTCTGTAATGACAAGTCTCTGGAGAGTGTTTCTTTCACTCATAGCTTTTTTGAAATCTGCTTAGAATGTTGGCCTATGCTCCCTGAAGGCTTATTTTTTGAAAACTGGGAACTTGTGGAAATGCCTCAGTTGCAGGCTTTTTCCATCATTTTGCATTTAGATATGAAATTCCTTGGTGTCAGATTATTACTTAATTTTAATTCTAAGTATTAACATTGAAACTGCACACAGTCATTAAACAGTATGGAATAAAAATGAAAAGTGTTAGAATGTTCTGCAGTTTTCAAAATTAAACTAACAAAAAGGATTCTTCTCGGCCAGTTGGGGCTTGTGATTTTAATCTCTGGGATTTCATTTATTACTGCAGAAAATGTTTCTGACTGATAAATGGGAAAAAACGTACGTACAAAAACTAGCACTCTGTATTTTTTCACTTCTTTGCTATGTTTCTACGCTCTCCCTGTACCAATGCAGGTGACATTAAAGTCAACTGGGTTTCCAGAACAGGAAAAGAGAAGGTATTTTCTCTTTATTTTATTTTATTTTATTTTATTTTATTTTATTTTATTTTATTTTATTTTATTTT